ATTGTTCTGTTGAAATTTACATACCCTTCTACTGAATGTGGCAAATAGTTCTGGATATTTAATTTTCAAGTACCTTAATATTCCACAAATAACATCATACTATGATTTTTTTTTATCATATATCAGATAACTGCTCTCAAGGAAGGTGTAATGAAAGTGCAATTACATAATTTATGGATTTGTTGTAAATATATTTCAATCCACAGCAAAATATTTGTGATTTAGGTCCACTTTCATCAAGTTAAATTACACAAGCACGAATGGCTACGACAAGAAAGGAAATACTAGTTCTCTTTTTAATTCTTCTTCAAATAACCAAACCAACATTATCGCAAGACAGCGGAGATGATACCACCATCTTTAGATTACCAAAAGACTTGGTACCAGAAAATTACGACCTGTTCCTGCATATCGAACCAGCAAATGATGATTTTAGCGGAACAGTGAACATTACCTTCCACTTGGTTAATGAATCCTCCGTTGTCGAAGACATTTATTTCCATGCTGATCCAAAATTCGTCACAATAACATATCTAACTGTAAATGGTGACACTAACTGTACGTATGAGAGTCTAGATAACTACATTGTGAAATGTTCTTGTGGTAATATAATGGAAGGAAGCAATTTTCTCTACATTGAATATGAAGGTAAATATTCTCAAACTGATGGACGTGGTTTGGTTAAAACAAGTTATACGGATAATGGCAAGAAGCAATATTTGATCGAATCATATTTTGAACCAACTTTCGCGAGGAGAGCTTTCCCTTGCTTTGACGAACCGGATTTTAAAGCTACTTTTTCTATCAAAATAATAAATCCGGTTAGTTATACTATGCCTGTGAGCAACAGTATTCCTCAAGATTACATTATTAAGTAAGTGCTTTATTAAAAAGGAAGTAAAGATCCTGTAAAGATTTGAAAGTTATTATTAACCAGTTACTTTTACTTTTAGCATGGAAAATCTGACAGTCACCTTTCAACCGACTCCAAAAATATCGACATACTTAGTCTCAATTTTTGTTTCTAACTTTGAAGAAACATCATTTTCTTATGCAGACGACGAAGAATATACTTTCAAATTTTTGACACGGTCTGGTTTTGAAGATTTAACATCTAAAGTTGCTGGAACCCACTATGGTCAAATCATGGATGCATTGAGTAACTTCACTGGACAATCTTTCCAGGATATAGGCGACACTGAATGCTATCAAGTTGCTGTACCCGATTATTTTTCCGAAGATATGGGGAATTTTGGACTTTTTGTCTACAAGTAATTTTCAACTATTTTCAATTTCTTTTATATTAAATACATTTTTGTTACAGAGAAAGAGATCTGTTAGATGAAGGCGATAAAACTACTGTCAAGGTTACTCAAAACATACTGCAAGCTATGACATATAAGATAAGTCACGAATGGTTTGGAGGAGAAGTTTCGACCACGTGGTGGTCAGACTTTTGGGCAAACGAAGCTGTTCCGATGTATTTTAAATATATTATTCCGAATAAGGTAAACAATATGACTTATAGCTCCAACAAAGTATTTCCAATGTACTTAAAAGTTTCTATAATGGTGTATAAACGTTTGTATTATTCTAATACTACTATAGTCTGCAACAGAATGTAATGTGTGATATTTCCAATTTAGATTGATGAGGGATTCGAATTTACAAACCAATTTGTAGTGGACGTAGTTCAAAAAGCAATGCAGTACGATGCCATGCCTTTCGTAGAACCGCTTTCTTCTGATGAGTCAGATATTACCAACGAATGGGGAATTGAAAATAAATTGGATAAACACAGTTTACTGNAGATACACTGTTAAACCTTTTATTAGTTTTGTTTTAATTCTTTTGTTATTGCCATAGCAACGACAGTATAGAGGACGCCATCTTGAAAGTTTTAAGTTGTCGTAACTTCTAAATGATTTCAAGAAACGGCGGCTCATTTTAATAGACTACAAGCCCATCTGAAATTTTCAAAGGGTCATTTGAACCAGCATGAATTACATATAAATCAATACTACCGCATATAACAATAACTTTAGAAACTATGCCGTCAATTCTTGTTGGTACAGGTGAGTACACAGGTAAGCTAAACCTGTCCACCAAGGGGGGGCAAAACATTTTTGTACGGCATTTCTAAAGTAAATAGGTTATACAAAAAAAATTAACCTCGAGCTAATGCCGTACAAAAATAGCAATACCGGAAGACAGGAATATTTCTGATTTTCTGAAAATTTTGGCCTTGTTTTTGGTGATTTACTACAATACGGCATTTATACTGAAGTTTTGGTTTGATACATAGAGAACTTTTTTAGTGACGCCGTAAGTATCTGCTGATACAGGAGTTAGAAATGCAGGGCACAACTCTCTATTTGTAAGTAGCGTATAGGGGGTGATTTGAACCAACATCAAATTCACTAATTTTAATTCTATTTTATAAGATAATGACATTTTTGGCCTTGCCGTACATTTTTCATGAAGCATATGCTTCAGATGGTCGGCATTGTTGCTAAAACATTATTTAAAATAAATAAAATATTTTTTAAGTAATATGCCGTTAAAAAGCCATAGGTCGATATAAAAATTATTAATTTTATAAATTTGAAATTAATTTTTTTTCACAACAATCTTAAAGTTGTTTTTGTAACAAATGCACTTTTAAATTATTTTTACTAATTTTAAACATATATTGTATGCCAATGGCTTCATCACAATTATTGTAACAGAAGTTGCAAATATGCAAATGAGAGAGTACTATTACTTCAAAACATATAATTGTATCACTGTTTTAAATGTAAGTATTTATATAGGAATTCTCAAGAATATTGAGTTAAAATTAATTGTTTGTTATTATATTTATTTAAAAATAATACTTAATAATACAAGTCATTAAATTTCTATACACAATTTTTTTTAATCTTAAAGACAATGCCATCATAATTTCTACGGTATAAATTAAATTTCTCTTGAAATTAGGATAAACTCATTTTGGACTTATTAATGACCTAAAAATATAGTAAAAATTTAATGAAAAATATTATCAGCTATATTAAATCCACTAGTTAAAAATGTACGGCATTGGTTTTTTTATATTTTTTTTTACTTATGAAAAGTCAATTACAGCCATAACATTTTTAGTTTATAACAAGGAATTTTCAAAATATTGTAAATTTTCAAAATTTATTTTTTTGTTTTTTAATTCGAATTTTTAATTTGTACCATTAATTATAACCGGCCATGATTTAGTACGATAGTTTTTGGTTATATTTTATCAAAAAAGTGGTTGCCGTACAAGAATTAATAATCTTATCGAAAAAATTAAAACTCAATTTCAAAATACAAGTAATTGTTTATAAACTTCTGCATTAACCATAATTTTCAGACGATATAGTTGCTAAGAATTATTTGGAGAGTTAAATAATCATGTCAAATCGATATTTATGTATTGATCCGAAACTTGCAGTAGAATAAATGCCGTACTGTAGTAAATCACCAAAAAAGGCGAAAATTTTCCTGGCTGCTATTAGTGTTATGCCGAACTTACCTGTGTACTCACCTGTACCAAGAAGAAAAGAAGAATAGACGGCAAATAACCCTTAAAAATTTCCGATGGGCTTGTAGTCATAAGGAACTATTAATAACATTTATTTTTATGATGTGGAAATAAAAATATTATTTTCCTGAGCAACGGTAGACGCGGTAATCAGAAAAGTTTTGTAATTGTATCCGTTTACTAAAAAAANTTTGTTTTTTAATTCGAATTTTTAATTTGTACCATTAATTATAACCGGCCATGATTTAGTACGATAGTTTTTGGTTATATTTTATCAAAAAAGTGGTTGCTGTACAGGAATTAATAATCTTATCGAAAAAAAAAATAAAACTAAATTCCAAAATACAAGTAACTGTTTATAAACTTTTGCATTAACCATAATTTTCAGACGGCATAGTAGCTACATTTACATTTTGTACACTTTTCAACGACTTGAAACAATGGGAGCTAAAGTAGAGGGTTGCATCCTGTATTCCTAACCCCTGAATCAGCAAGTACGTACGGCGTCGCTTAAAAATGTATGTAAGTATTGATCCGAAACTTGCAGTATAAATGCCGTAGTGTAATAAATCATCAAAAACCGGGTCAAAATTTTCAGAAAATCAAAAATTTTCCTGGCTTCCGGTATTGCTATTTTTGTACGGCCTTAGGTCGTACGTCTATGGATCACCCTGTACAGTATTAACAGAATGCCAATAACTCCTACCGTCTTTTCTAATGTGAATAAACTTTCATATAAAATTGTTTTTTAGAACTGGTTCAGGTACGGATGGCTTGAACATGCTAGAAGATTTAACTAAAGCCGATACTATACAAGATTTGTATTCAGCTGCCCAGTCCTGGGCCTTCACTGCTGGATTCCCATTGTTAAGTGTCAAAATAGATACATCCACTGACGAGAAAGAGACTCTGGCATTTTCACAAGTAATTCATATTCATATACAAAATTTTCAATTATGTTTAAACAATCTAATGTTTGTTACAGAAGCGTTTTGTTTATCCCACGGACAACACCACAACTTTTAGCGACGACATAAAATGGACTATTCCAGTAAGCTATACCACTTCCAGTACCAAATATTTTGAAATGGGTATTAACGTATATTATGCTCCAAACATAGAATTATATGTCGACATACATAAAGACAATTGGGTTCTGTTCAATATCCAAGGCAGATTCCATTACAGAGTGAACTACGAGGAAGAATTATGGAGAAGAATTATCAACGCTTTTCAAGACGAGACTGAGAGGACAGAGATTCATTCCCTAAGCAGAGCACAGGTGATTGACGACGTATTTAACATTGCTAGAATAGGAGAGGTAGATTATTCCTTAGCGTTTAAATTGGCAGATACTCTCGTCTACGAAACTGATTATTATCCCTGGTATTCTGCGTTCAATGCATTTTCATACCTTTTAGGGAAGATGAAGGATGAAGATGTTGAAGAAAGATTGAAGGTAGGTCTGTATTGCAGGAATAAGTTAAAGAGACCTTAGTGCTTCCGATGTTACATTTAGGAATTTACCAAACAATTTTTAGATGTACATTCTAAGTCTAATGGAAAATGTTATCTACATTCCGGACCATGAGTTAGCTACTCAAGAAAATGAAACACAAATAGATGTATTGAAAAATGTCATGATAATCGAATGGGCTTGCAAGTTGGGTCATTCAGAATGTATCAGTTTTGCCACTGAACAGTTTGCCAATTTCAAAGAGAATCAGACAAGGTAAGTGTATACAAATAAGTTAATTGGTAATAAATTTATGGCACCAATATTTTTGTGTTCTATTTTTCAACATATTCCTCTATCGCACCTAGTCTACTTGTCCACAAAGAAGTCCACTCAGGAAGAATATTGTTGACTATGAAATTTGAGATAAGTACCTTAAGTAATATTCACCATAGTGTCTGAACTTAGCGCTCACATTTTCTATTGTTTAGATGTTTCAAAAAACTGATTTACAATGACAGATGATTCAGCTACAAAGTTGGTTAAGAACTGCACCAAAATATTTTTTTTTACCAAAAACGCCTTCAGGTTTATGAATAGGTAGACCAAGTGTGTCAGGAAGCAGAGCGATCATGTCAAAAAGTAAAACATAAACAGTTTCTATGAGTATTATTTTCTCTCTTATTTTTGATATATACTAATGCAAACAATTAAAGGGTCAAAAGAATTTCCGAAATCTTTCCGTGATTTTTGACAAACTGTATTTAGGTGAAACATGGTCGTATCGGGAATTGAAAAAAAAAAGGATTTTGAAGCTCTAAGATTCTAGTTTTTAAATCTTTCGGTCGAAATTTTTTAGGAGCTACGCTTCTCAAGCAATTCTAAGAAATAGCGCGACAAAAAATTTTTGCAAATTTTCTTCTTTTCTGCGTGTGAAAGATGAAAAAATTTTTTTTTCCAACAAGCTGCGGCAGCATATTGTAGGAAATTTAATCCAGTTTTCGAAACTGCCCTTCAATTCTCTGTACGACAATTTGTCGCCGAGATATCGATGATTGAAAACAAAAGGATCTTTTCCAATTAAAAGTACGATATATCGATGAGAAATAGTCGTATCGAAAATTAAAAAAAAGGAAATTGAAGCTGAATAAACAAGCTATCTGGCCCATGCAATGGCTTAGTTGAAAATTGAAAATTTTCCAAGTCCCTGGAATTTTTTTGTGACTCTATTTTTTAGAATTGCATGATAACCGTAACTCCTAAAAAATTTCGACCGAAAGATCTAAAAACTATAATCTTAGAACTTCAAAATGCTTTTTTTATTTCCCGATACTACCATTTTTCACCTAAATACAGTCTGTCAAAAATTACGGAAGAATTTCGGAAATTCTTTTGACCCTTTAATTGTTTGCATTAGTGTATAACTAAATACATTTCAATGAAACTTATTTTTAGTATGATGGACTACAATCTAAGACCAGTCATACTTTGTAACGGTATAAGGTATAGTGAAAACGTCACTCAAGACTGGAAGTTCCTATGGTCAGTATTCGAGTCATCAACATCGGTGCATGAGCAGTATGATATTTTACAGGCACTTGGATGTGCTGAAGATAAAGAGACTCTTAAGGAGTAAGTGGCAATTTAGAACTTATCTATAGATTGATTAGAATAATATGATATAGGTATAAATTCTATGGAAAAGTCGAAACAGTAAAGTAAGAACACTATAATGTCCTTCATTACGACCTTTCTTGATATAGATTTAAAACTGTCCGTCCCATAATCCAATAATTTAGATCGAGTTGAGTTTCTGAACTATATTATTATTTATTAATACTATTTTTCAATCCCATTTAATTTGAACCTCAGTTCCAATTTTTGTTATTTTGTAGTTTGTGTTCAAAAGATTAAAAATATATAAATCCTAAAATTACAAAATAAAATTAAAGTCAAAAATATTTCGGTAAAAGGCAAATTTAGAACACGCTTTGCATTAAATCAATTTTATATGCAGATTAAAGAATTTGTTTATTCATGTATTCTTTTACGGGTAATATTTTAATTAGTATATTCCTTAGTTACATTATAAGGCTTGCTGTACCCATCATTTCTGCATATTTCAAGAGACAAGACACTATGGTTGTATTCGGGTCAGTCTTATCAAATTCCGCGGGAATCGAGGCAGCTNTATTATTATTTATTAATATTATTTTTCAATCTCATTTAATTAGAAACTCAGTTCCAATTTTTGTTATTTTGTAGTTTGTGTTCAAAAAATTAAAAAAACATATATTCTAAAATTACAAAATAAAATTATTCAAAGTCAAAAATATTTCGGTAGAAGGCGAATTTAGAACACGCTTTGCATTAAATTAGTTTTATATGCAAATTTAAGAATTTGTTTATTCATGTATTCTTTTGCTGGTAATGTTTTAATTGGTATATTCCTTAGTTACCTTATAAAGCTTGGTGTACCCATCATTACTGCATATTTCAAGAGACAAGACACTATGGTTGTATTCGGGTCAGTCTTATCAAATTCTGCGGGAATCGAGGCAGCTACGTCGTTTTTAGGGAGCAGTATTGCATATATACAATTCATGTAAGAAATGAGATATTGAGAGAAATAAACAATTTGTCAATGTGATTTCTACTCTTTAGTTTCAACGGTAATCTGAACGAAGTATATTATCTATCAGACATGATATTGGCTCTTGCTGAAAAATTAACTACTGATGAGCAGCTGCAACAAGTAAGTAACTTTACAAAAGAAACATCATTACATTTATCAGTTTTCATTTAAAGTCCAGTTGATTGAGTGTTTAAAGTTTATTGATTTAAAAAAATTCTTTTAATAATTCTAGCACAAATCTACGTATTATCTCACTTCTCTCACTGATTATCTCACTTTCATCCTCAGCTTTTTTATTTTATTCCATTACAGAATAAATATTTTTTTTAAATTGATATACAGGGTGTCTACAAATTTTAAAGACGCGATTACTTGAGTTAAGGAGGTATATCGGGTTTACTAAAATTTATATAGCGTATTACCCAGTGCTCCCTCTGTGCGTCATATTTTCTTGAATTTTTTTTTGAATCTAGATTTTGAGATATTGTTGAAAGTTGTTCATTTTAACAGGTTTATATGGCGAAGATGGACGGTGCGACTCTTTTTTTGCCCATAACTGAGAAAAAATGTAGAAATTGTGAAACAAAACTTTTCCATAGATAGTACACAGTATTATCTTATTCATTTATGTAAAACTAATGTAAGTTTTGAACATAGTACAGCTGTATTAATTAGAAACAGAAACCAATAATTGCAGTTCTGTCTGACTTGAGGATTAAGGTGGCAACGTCGCAATCAGCTGACAGCAAGGAGGGAATACATTTGAAAGACTTGATAAAAACGAAATTGATTTGAAACACATACAATTTTCCTAAATCCCATATACATTGTTATCAACAATAAATTATCCACAACAGATTATTTTTTGTAATGTTTTTAAAAAACTAAATTAATTAAAAAAGGATAGGAAGCTGTGATATATTTATTGGAATAAAAAATACAGTTGATAAATCCTTTTAATGTATTTAATGGTTTATAAAAACATCGTAATCCGTACCTCCCCAGCAATATTTAGGGTTACATACAGTTTTCTTTACTTGATTAATATAATACACGAGATAAAAGCATTTGTACAGAATAACAAAGGAACATAAATATTTTTCAGCAAACTTTATATCTAAAAAATTAGTTATAGTTGCAAAACTTTTGTAACATTACTAAAATAGAGATGAAAAACACGAACAGTGAGTAATAATGTAATTTCTATCACAGAACCTTCAAAATTGCATCCAACATTTTCTTTGACTTNAACGGCTCATTGTGTGAGAGAGATCTCATCCCTACTCCGTGCTGTTTACTGGGTCAGAAGTGACACCGGTCGACGCCTGGCGGGGATAAAAAAATGATCAAGTGATAATTGATCAGTTATCGACCGGGGTTGAAAATTATTGAATTACTAATATCGCTATTAAAAAATAGGGGTTGATGGTAGAAGGGTGAAAATTTAGGATTGTATGTATTTTTTAAAGCCACATCATAAAAAAATAAAAATAAAAAATTTTGTCCAAAAAAATTAAAAAAAAAATTTTGGGGTGGACCACCCTTAACATTTAGGGGTATGAAAAATAGATGTTGGCCGATTCTCAGACCTACTCAATATGCTCACAAAATTTCATGAGAATCGGTCAAGCCGTTTCGGAGGAGTACGGGAACGAACATTGTGACACGAGAATTTTATATATAAGATTTTCAATATGTATGTTATGTGCATATTGAGTAGATTTCTTTGCTATATAGATAATGTTTATCACAAAAAATTTCAATAGAATTAAATTTTTTCAAGTTGGTAGCGGGTTTTAGTTCCATAAGAAAAGCATAGGATCCCCCCCTGCGGTCCTCACTTCCCTCAGACCCCGATATACCTTCTTAAGCTCAACATGTTAGTTTGCGCTTTGGCATATCAAATATTTCGAACGACTTTTTCAAAATTGAGATTTGTTTTCAGTTTCAGGATACTCTTTCTAGTCACGACGTTCTCAGTGGCTACGAAGACCTTAGAGTAAAAGTTGAAACATTAGCCAAAGTTAATATTTATTGGGCGAAACAGTATCAAGATGTTATTGAAGGAATACTTCCCGAGATTGTAGTTAGTACCACTAGAG